GGGAGGACTCTGAGCTTCTGCGTCCGTGAGAAGTTCCTTTAGGGTCCAGGCATGTCAACACCTTTCTGGGGCCAAAAGTCATCCCTGAAGCAAAGCCCAAGAAGAAATGGTACAGTGGATCCATACAACGGAAAATCATCCTACCATAAAAAGGAACGAAGTGCTGAGACACATACACAGACCTAAGTTTATCAGCAGTTACCAGGGGCGGGCGGGAGAGAAGGGGAACAGGGCTCACTGCTTAGGAGGCACTAAGCTTCTATAAAGGGTGATGGAAAATTTTGTAAACGGATAGTGGTGCTGGTAGAACAACATGATGACTGTAATTCATGTCACCGAAGTGTACACGTGAAGAATGTACAAACGGTAAATGTTTTCTTACGTATATACTTACCACAATTTAAAACTAAAAAAAAAAAAGAAAGTACTGCTACGTGCTACAGCGTGGATGAACCCTGAAAACGTGAAGCTAAGTGAAAAAAGTCAGAAGCAAAAGGAAACAAAGCGTAGGATTCCATTTCTATGAAATTCTAGAACAGGCAAATCCATACAGGCAGAAAGCAGACTGGTGCTGCCAGGGGCTGGGGAGAGCGGAGGTAGGGAAGCGACTGCTCATGGGTAGGGCAGCTTCTTTTCGGGGTGATGAGAATGTTCTGGAACTAGACAGTAGTAATGATTGCACAACACAGTGAATGGACTAAATGCCACTGCATTGTACACTGTCAGACGGTGAATTTATGTCAGTGGGGGAGGAACAACTCAGAGAAGGAGGGTGAGCATGGAGGCACAACTCAAAGAATGTCACCGACGTCACTGAACTGTATATGCAGAAACTGTTGAATTGGTGTACGTTTTGCAACGTATATTCTCAACACCAACAAAATACATAAATTTTTTCAAAAATGGTGAATTTTATGTTTTGTGACTGTACCTCAATTTTAAAAAAAGGAAAAAATATTTGAATAGTTATTCAAAAAAAAAGACAAAGAAATGGGCCCATTTTGCGCCAGGGTTCCAGCCTGCCACCCTCGGCCCTGTCTCAAATGCCTGGGGGACACGAGGTCGAGTCCCCGCATGGGAAAGGGGGGCATGCATCAAGCCACCCATGCTGTTCAGGAGAAACGTGCGAACAGGCGCCGACCGCACCAGTAGGTGTCTGCTGCCTTCGCCCAGACTCTGGGCCGGGGAGGAGCAGACTTGATGTCTGGAGGGCAGCTGATGTCACTGTCACAGGAAAGGCAACCCTCAGTCCGAGGCAGGTAGGGACCCACCAACCAGACACCGAGGCTGAGCTCAGGGGTAGTGCATGGAGGACTCACGGACACTGGCCGCCCCAGGGACTCCTTCCCCATCGCCTTTGCGGGGGCACGTGGCCAAGATCTGACCTCAGCCTAGGCTGGCCGCTTTTCCAAGGCCCCAACCTGCTCATCACACAACAACAAAAATCCCCCCACTCCTCGCATTCCATTCTGCACCCAAGAAGGAAAAGGTGGGTTCCTGATATCTCACGGTGCTTTCTCAAGAGGTACTTCCTCATGGGCGAGGGAGTTTTGGCGACTCCTGGCCTGGAGGTGAACTGAAACTCCAGGGGGCTCGGAACAGGGCTCTTGCGGACATCCCCTGCCCTCCACCACCAGGACCAAGGCCCGGCTTCTGGCAGGGAGCTGGAGGACAGGAGGGAGCCTCCTTACCCGTGTTCTGTCCTCGATCTCGTAGATCCGCAGCTGCATGGGCACATTAAAGCTGTGCAGGATGTTTCCGCCAAACACCAGCGAGTCCACCGGGGTGTAGACCGCATGGATCCAACCTGAGGTAGAAAGGATGAGAGAAGGTGAGTCTTCGGCCTTCCCAACTAACCAGGCTGCAGGGAGGGAAGACCAGCGTGCAAGAGGGCAAAGGGGACGAGGGGAGCGCCCGGGGACAGGAGCAGAGATGCTGATGTCCAAAGCCAAGCCCCTGCGGAGACCAGAGGCCGCAGCCCCAAAGCCCTCCTGGACTGCGTGCATGGTTGGGGGCCAGCTCAAGCTGGCTGGTGGGAAGCTGCAGACCAGCCCCCCGACTCTTGAGGACCACGATGACAAAGGCGTCCTCCTGGTACCTGGTTACAGCAGCCAACAAGCCTATTCTCCCACCCCTCCATGAGCAGGAGACCCCTTGCTCAGGCAGCATATCAATCCAGTTGCAGGAATGGATTGAACTGTGTCTCCCCAAAACACGCGCTAAATTCCTGTGGATATGATCCTATTCGAAAAGAGGACTTTTGTTATGTTAAGGAGGTCATACCAGTACAGGGTGGGTCTTGAACCTAATCCCTCATGGCGACCCCACATGTGTCAGAGTAGAACTGTGCTCCATAGGGTTTTCAATGGCTGATTTTTCCAGGTCTTTCTTCCGAGGCACCTCAGGGAAGACTCGAACTGCCAACCTCTCAGTTGGCAGCCAAGCACTTCATCATTTGCACCACCCAGGGACTCCTATGGAAACACTTAGGGGAGGCGAAAAGAGAGATGGAGAAACGAGAGACGAGGCAGAGAGACACACAGCAACATAGAGACCCCCCTCTCCTGTGCCTAATTCCGTCACTCAGAGGAAAATTAAAGACGTGCCCCCAAACCTAAGCCCTTCCAGCCTGTCCCCTCAATCACAGCAACCCTACAGGTCAGGGCAGAACTGCCGCATGGGGTTTCCAAGGCTGTAAATCTTTACGGAAGCAGACTGCCACATCCTTCTCCCAAGGACTGAACCACCAGGGCTCCTCTCTGTCCCCCGTCAAGGCTCAGACACGCTGGCCCTGAGCAGGGACAAAGTTGCCAGCCGGGACGAGAACACAGTGGCTGGGAGGACACCGCTGGTTTCTGTGCCAGCTCCACACACACGCCCAGCGGCTCCCATCCCTGCTGGAGGCAGTGGGTGGGACAAATCAATGGTCCTCCGGGGAGGCAGCAGAAAGCTGCTGGGGCACAGGCCCTAAGGCTTCCAGAACCTTGTTCTGCCCTCAGCTCCCCATGTCTTGGGCTCAACAGGTGTGTCTTTGTGATCTGGGCCCCCCTTCCCCATCACCTCACCTGTGCGGAACAAACATGACTACAGCCTTTCCTTCACAGACTCTCCGTTTCCACATTTGCTCCAAACTCAGCTGCATACCGGGTTATTTTCTCAACAGCTACATTGTTACGTTTCTTGGTCCCAAGGTGGCACAAACAGTTTGGGCTCAACTACTAACCTAAAGGTTGGCGGTTCGAACCCACTCAGTGGTACCACAGAAGAAAAGGCCTGGTGATCTGCTTCCGTTAAGATGACAGCCAAGAAAACTATGGCGCAGTTCTACTCTGTGGCACGCGGCATCGCCAGGAGTTGAAATCAACTCAACGGCAACCAACAAAAGCAACAACTAAGCAGAACCGCGCTGCCTAGTATCATTATTATCATTACCGTGATCACTACCATCGGCGTTATTTAAGCAACCTTTCCTAAAACTAGGAACTAAGGCCGCTGGGTTCAGGCTGCTGAGCAGGGTGAGGGGAACATCCGGAATCAGACCAAAGGCTCTTGGGTCCCCCTACAATACTGTCTCATGTGCCCACCCACCTCCCTACAGAAAGCAGAAGTCCAGGGGCCTGGGTTTGAGGCTTGTCCCAGGGCTGACTCGCCATGTGACCCAGGGCAGCTGGCAGCCCCTCTCCTGGCCTTGACTTGCCGGTGTGAAGAATGAAGGAGAGCTCCATTGATACAAGGGTTACCACGGATATTAGAAGTAGTCTCACTGATCGTGAAAAGGGCCTCTCCCTTTCCCTAAACATGCTCACCTGTCAGGTGGAAACATACCTGGCTGACACCTGTTACCCTCAAGTGTGAGCAAAGCGGAGAGCAGAGAAAGTAGTTGTTGTGGGGAGGGGGCGGGGAAGCTGTCCTCCCAGACACTCGAGGGATTCTAGAAGCTTCTCCCAATTCTCCTTCCCAAGACAGGGCCTCACAGGTGAGTCAGGCAGCCTCCCCTGGATTAGACTGGTTCCAGCCCTCCTCACGTCTGCTCCCTCGGGAGGATCCAGGCAGGAGGAATAATCGCATTCCTAAGCCCTCCTGATGGCATAAGACAGCAAGCATCCCCAGGCTGGTGCCTGGGCTGAGGCAGCTGGCATTTGCCTCCTGCTTCCAGGACGGAGTCATCGACAATGTGAAGGCAATAACAGAGGATACTGGGCCCAAGCGACAAGGGACAGACCAGTTGTGTAAGCAAAGCAAGCAACCCATAAAACCTACTGCTGGTGTCCTCTGGGACCTCAGGCGGCCAAGAAGGACAGCAGGGCCACGTGAGAGAAGGGCAAGCTCAAAGTCATAAAGCAGCAAGGCCATGACCATTCCAGTGTCCCTTGAATCCACTGGCCCAATCCCCCAACACCTGCAGAGTGGCTTCAGCACACTCGGCAAGGACCTTTCCTTCCTGAGTCTCCATCCACACCTGCCAGAGTGTCTGCCATATCGCTACCCGCCAGATATAACCTCTTCCTGTCCCAATCAGGAGTTCCTCTCCTGGAGCCAGGCAGGCCTGAGGACTGACCTGGGGCCAGGGTAACAAAGTCACTCCACTAAAACCTGCCACCTCCAAACCCCAAATTTCCCTAACTGCGAAGTCTCCACCTTCTGCCCAACTTTCTAGAAAAGCCCAGGTATGCAGGTCCCATTCCTGTGTTGGGAACAGTTACAACCACAACCCCTTCACTTGACACCAGACACTACTGCTTGATGTCCAGGACCAACGCCAGTTTCCAGCCTGACTCTCAGAAACCTAAGTGTGGCCAGCTTCTCTAGCCAATGGATTCTAGCGGCCTCTAGGAATACTCCCATTTTCTGGTCCAAGCTGCTATCCAGTGACAGATTGTCTGCAGGCTCCTTGACACACCAGTATCTAGCCTAGACTTATATACCTCCAGTGACGGGAAGCTCACCACCTCACGAGGAAGTCACTCTATTACTACTCAGCTACACCTCTTCTTCCAAGAGACAGTCCTTCACCTGGCTGACTGCAGCTACCATTCACCTTCGCTTCCTCAGGTAAGAACCCCAGTTCTTTCCTCAAACTCGTCACACCTGTTGTGGTTTCCAGACCCACTCTTTCTCCCGGTCAACTTCCACTCCAAAGTCCAATGACCAAGAGGAATGTGACCTTCTACATGTGGCCTGATCATCCCCCCACACATACACTATACAGCGGGATTGTCACCTCCCTCTTCCTGGGTAGAATGCTCCCATTAACGCAGCCTAAGACCACAATCCCTGACTCCTCTAAGTCACCAGCCGCACCTACTAGTGCCAGCTTGTAACCAGTCAAAAACCCTCAGTCCATCTCCTACGATCTATAAGCAAGTAAGTCTCAACTCCCTCAGTCCTCCCAACCATCCTGGGAAGTCTTACTCCCATTTTACAGATGAGAACACTAGCCACAGGGAGGTTAAGTCACTTCTCTGAAGTCACAGTTTGTGAGCAGCAGAGCTGGAATTTCAGCTGAGGCTCCAGGACCCCTGCTCTTTGCTACTGCCCTCAGCTGTACTTGTGGGCTTATTTTTTTATTTTTTTTTTTTTTTTGAGTACAGGAACTAATTTTGATTCCAATTCCGTTTCATCCTGTTCTACAGGAAGGAGGCAGGATCCTGCCTCCCCTCTCCCCCACCACATTCCCCTCAGCCCACCCTCCAGGCTTGCAGGTACCCCTGGAAAAATCACTTCAGCTCCCTGCCCCCAGGGTCCACCTCTCCCCAGAGCTGCCTCCTGAGCCCTCAGGGCCGACTTTTTTGGTTAGCAGCCTAACTCAAACCCTGCACCACCAGAGCTCCATAAAGACTACAGCCCAGAAAACCCTATGGGGCAGTTCTACTTGGTGACGTGGGGTCACTATGAGTCAAAAATCGACTAGATGGCACCCAACAACAGCAAGCAGAGAACGAGGTCCCTGGGTAGCACCCCTGGGTAGCACAAACAGTTGGCACTCAATTACTAACCTGAAGGTTAGCAGTTTCATCCCACCCAGTGGCGCTTCAAGAGAAAGGCCTGGCAATCTGCTTCCATAAATATTAAAGTCTAGAAAACCCTATGAAGCAGCTCTACTCTGCAATACATGGGGTTGCCTTGACTTAAAATCGACTCAAGGGCAACACATTTAAGCAAGAAGATCCAAGTTCAACGTGAAGGGAAAACTGAGTTGTTTTTCCCTGTAGCCTGAGACCTGCTCTCCTCAGGGACGTTCAATGACCAGGCCAACCCACAAAACCAGAGAAGCCCCATCACTTAGCCTAAAACCCTGGCTGAGACCACAGGGCTGCAGGAGACTGCTCCAAATGCCAGGAGAGCCAGTGACTGAGCGAGAGCCATCCCCAACCCCACCGGAACCTACTGGAACCTACCAGAAGGGATGAAAAACGTGTAACCCTGTTTCAGCTCAATTCTTTGGCATCGCTCCACGCGGTCTCCCAGAAAGATGTCACTCTGTTTGCCTGACAGCACCCACTCCTCGTACAATGCCAAGTTGTGCAGGGTTGGAGGGATCAGCCAAAAGATCTTGGGAGGAAAAGAAGACAGTCAGCTGAAGACCAAGGTCCATGTCTCTGATTTCTTCCAGGCCCTGCCACAATCCAAGGAGACACCACCTGCCTGAGGGCGGAGAAGATGAGGGGGAGAATGCATCCTTCTGGAGCCCCCTCTACGTCCAGGCCCAAAGGGTCACTGCGGTGGCAGCGAGGGCTGTGCCAGCCCTTCAAGCACTCCCTTTGCCTAAAGGGAATCTTCATTCCAGCTGAACGACCAGGGTGGGAAGACTTCCTGGACAGGGAGGGACAATTTCTCCTGAGCCATGGGCTTGTCAGGGACATGGAGGTAGTAGAAGAAGGGGGATTTCATAAGTTGTAGGATAAAATGGCCCAATAAATAAACCCAGCTTGTGCTCCCTTTGGAGAAGGAGGAAAAACATCTGGAACCAAGTGGAATGGCTTCCTCCCAGACTGTCTTCCAACACATTCAGTTCAAACACGCACACAGGCAGACAGAGCCACGCAGGGCAGCACGCACGCACGTCCGGGAAGCACAGACTGCCACCTCCACGAGGAAATGGACACAGAGCAGACACAGCAGAACCGCCCGGAGCACACAATCCACCTTCTCCCTGGGGGAAGTCTATCCCGAATGGAAAATGTTCTTGGAGGCAGCTGGAGCTAGCAACTAGACTTTTAAGTAAAAAGGTCCCACTGCTGGAACTGGGAAAAAGTAGCACTAGAGGCTCTTGGAGACCACCAACTCAGGTGTTCAAATCCGGCCGAAGGTGCTTAGACACTGAACTGGGCCAGAAGGTGACCAGAAGTGATGCAGGAGAGCTGACCAGACCTTTCTCACCAGGAGGGGACAGAGAGCCAGGAGACCCAGGAGTAGCCCTGAAAGTACTCCGGGGCTGGGGCTGGCCGGAGGAGGGAGGCGGAAGAAAGGGGGAGAGGGAGCGAGCTTCTCCACACACAAACAGCCAGGGATCTAGCCAAAGTTGAAGAGTCTCTAGCGGAACTCACCTTCCCACCCCGGAATACATGGTACCAGACGGAAGTGCCTCCGAAGTCGATGTGGAAGTCAGTGAAGCAGCCTTTCACGCTCATCAGACAGTACCTGCAGCACAGGGCCAGGAGAGCAGGAAAAACCAGAGGTGAGCAGACAGCCTCGGAGATGCCCGGCCTGCTGCCCTTTTACAATGCTGACGTAGGGGGATTTTTTTTTTTTTTTTTTTAATCCAAATCAAATCGGAGTTCCCCATGGGGGAAGCTTCTGTGGTCAGGTGACAAATCTCAGGCATTGGCCACCTGCCCTGAGGCTGGAGGCAGCATTTTTTCAGGTTACAGCGAGAGCAGACAACCCACAGGTGACTTCATTCCTTCCTTGCAGTGGGTTTACACCCTTAGCCCGCCCCCAGTCCTACCCAAGCCAGAGAGAGGCTTCCTTTCTGCTCCTTTGCAGCTCCATACCTGCAGTTCTCCCAAGCTGCCAGCCCCCTGTGCAGCAGCTGGGCCCCCTGGAATTCTGTTGTAAACCACATGCGTAGCTTGCCAATTACCAGGGACACACAGTCCCCCCATTCACTTCCTCACTCATTCGACAAGCATTTGCTGAGGGCCAACTAGTGGTCCAGCCCCAAGCGAGGCGTGTCACTGAGAGAAATACATAGGAATGCATAAAATCCCTGCCCTCAAGGATCCCCCCATCGGAATGGAGCAATGCACAGAAAAGTTAACCAGTGGCCCCAACTACAGTAGCCTGCCAATGCAGTAGAAAGGAACACCAGCCGCAAAAGACCACATACTGGAGAATCCCGTTTACGTGAACCGTCCAGAAGAAGCAAATCCACCAAGAAAGTAGATTAGTGGTGACCAGGGGCTGGGGGTGTTGGGACGAAATTGGGAGTGACTGCCCATGGGTATAGGGTTTCTTTTGGAGGTAAGGAAAATGTTCTAAAAGGGACTGTGGTGATGGTTGCACAACTCTAAACATGCTAAAAGCAGCTAAATTGTACACGTTAAATGCGTGAATTGTACGGTGTGTGAACTTTATCTCAATAAGGCTGTTTAAAAAAAAAAAAGTAAAGGGATTACAGAAGCAGCCCGTGGGGGAGTCAGGCAGGCAGGGAGCAAGGGAGAGGCTGGGGACAGCGGGGACGCAGCAGGCAGCCACAGAAAGGGGGTGTGCATTCAAGGAACCCGCCACCCCCCTTCTGAGCTCCAGGGAACTAGACTGCCCACCCTTCTCTGCAGAAACCTACCAGTCCCCTCCCTCCCCCCACAACATGCTGCCCTCCTGGGGGGTGGCGGGGGGGAAAGAGCTTAAGGAGGAAGGGGACGGCGCGGGCTTCCAAGTCCAGGCCTGGCGGACATCGGTGGGCACCCGCGCTGGTCCCCTCCCTCTTTCCCACCGTTATCCCACCAGCCCGGGCCAGGCAGCCACCCATCGCCTCATGCCCGTGCACCCTGGGACCTCCAGAGGCACGCACACGGAGGCTTACCCCACTGACCTCTTTCCCCGAAGCTGCACATTGCTTTTCCATGGTTTGGGGAAGAGGGGAGGAACCGGGCGGGGACGGGAAGGGAGGAGGCCGCAGTAGAGAGGGCGGGTGGAGAGAATGGGGGGAATGAGGCTGAGCTGACGGGAGGCGGGCGACTTGGTGCCCCCTCCCTCGGCTGCCTTTGGCACCTCACACTCAGGTACACCCGGGGCTCGGCAATATGCAGACGGCGTGCCCCGCGTCCTTCCTCCCATAGGCTGGAAGGCGCCTCAGCCATGTGTCTGCAGGAGGCTGGCAAATCAGGAGGCCTGCCCGCACATCAGAGCGCCGCTGCCTAGCAACCCCATCGGAGGGTGTAGTTGACAGCGCAGGACGCAGCGCAGGAGGGCTGCGGGGCTGGGCGCTCAGAGTCCCGACTTCCCGCTGCACACCCTCCCTGCTCCACACCCTCGCCGCCTCGCCCAGCCAGGTGCCCACGTGCACCTCTCCAGGCCTGGGTGACCCCCTTCTTCTCTCCAAGGCATGGGGGGGGATTCTGACCCCTAACCCATCCACCCCCCCCCGCGGACCACATTGGCCTCTTCTCTGGAAACGCCACTTCAAAATATTAGCCCTTATTTTCCTAAAGCCACCTCTTCGTCTGGTATTTTCTCTTTTCTTTTTTAGTCTAACCTTGGTTTCCACCCTCTCCGAGCCCCAGCGGAGGGCAGACTAAGGGAAAACAATCTGCGCGCGTGCGGGGTGGAGCCAAGAGAACGTGCCTCTTTTGGGCTGCAGCTGGACATCCACCCGGTCCCGCGACAGAGAGGGACGCCGGGCCTGGCTCGTGGGCTCGGGCTTCTGAGGGCCTGTCCGGCCAAGCTGCTCTCCCCAACCCCAGTCTCCCCAGGGTATGGGGAAATGGGAATCCCAGCGAACTACTCAGAGCCTGTGAGCAGAGAAAGTTCTCCAAGTTGAGCCTGGGTCTGCTCTGCCCTCGGGGTCACACTCCAGCCTCCATGGGGGCCTCTCAGGGCCTGGGGTGCCACTTCCTGACCCCCTCTCTCCAGACAAACCGCTCCTCCTCCCGCTGCCCCCGTCCAGGCCCGGGGCCGCCCCTCCCTTGAGGCGATGACATGCGCAGGCGGCCAGGGCGGCTTTGTCCCGGGCCCTGCAGCAGCCCGCCCCGCCTGCCAGCCTGCCCGCCAGCCGCCGGCGCTCTCTCCGGGACTCCCCCCTCGGCGCTCGCTCTGGCGTGACGCCTTTGCACTGACCTCTACAGCTTCCTCTTCCCCAGCTCACCGCAGTCACATGGGCGCCCAGCTCGGTGCCACAGCCAAGATTTCTCCACGCCGGCTGACCTGCCTCGGCTTCCGCCTCGCGCCCCCTGCCCGAAAAGCCGCGCCCCCACGGACACGACCCACGACCATCCAAGATCCCCTCCAAACTGGGTGCTGGAAATCGGGAGCCCCCGACTACACCCTTGGGGGCCCCCGCACGCAAGGCCACGGCTGGCTGGAGAGGAGCGTAGGAAAGGTCGCTGCACCTGCAGCATCAACTTCGGGGCGCTGCTGGGTCTGGGGGCGGGGCGGCTCCACCTGGCCTTTTCCCTCCAACTTAGAGAAACTGCCGGGCTGCGCAGGCGGCGTCCCTTCTGGCACAGGTCTGGAAGGGAGACCTGGACACCTCACGTACGCCGAGTGCTAGAGGAGGCGAGCACGCGCCCACACCGCACACACCCCGGGAGACACAAAGAGACGCCGGCCGTGCAGCCCGTGGCAAGAGGCGACCCACACCGGCCCGGCGCCGCAAACGAGCCGCGCTTAGAGCAGGGACTGCCCGCCCTGCCCCGCCCGGCGCCCGCGGTTACCCTCGGCGGCGGCGTGGGCGGCGCGGCTCCCGGGCGTCCCCTCCGGTGGCGACAGAGACTCGACGCGCGCACGGCCTCTCCAAGACGCTGCCAGGCCCCAGCCGAGGGCCGTGGCTCCCTCGCTAGCTACCTTCCTTCCTCGGAGAGCGGAGCGCAGGCGGAGCGCATCCCCGAGCTGAAACTGAATACCCGCCAGAACCGCCGCAGCCAGAGAGGGCGCAGGGAGGCCGGGGCGGCGACCGGGAAGCGCGGCAGCGACGGGGAAACGCGCGGGCCAGCGCCAGGGAACGTCGCCGCCGCCACCCGCGCCCCCTCGCCCCTGTGGCCAGGAGGGGGCACAAGAGTGGCTCCCATCTTCGCCCTGCCTCTGCCGGTGGGCGCTCGAGGACTCCTGCGTCCCTGTTTCCTGGAGCGTGGACGCAGACCTACTGCTGGGGGTGACCACCCAGCAAACCCCCTTTAATTTGCCCATCCAGACACAGCTAGGGATAGGGCCAGTGGGGGGGCTGGGGGTGTATGTGAGATCCCAAGTATGGCAGCCAGGGGACCCGGGATCCAGCTCTGGCCCTGAGAACAACGAACGGGGTGACCACGGGCAACTCACTTACCCTGTTTTGTCAAGGGAGCTGACCTGAAATTCAACTCTACTTTCTAAGATGCTCCTTTACTGCCTTTCTCCTACCGTGTCCTTTTTCTTGCTGTTAAGTGCCTTCCAGTCGGTTGGACTCAGCGACCCCATGAACAACTGTATGAAACACTGCCCGGGACTGCACCATCCTCACAATCGTTGCTGTTTGAGCCCATGGTTGCAGGCACTGTGTCACTCCATCTCTTTGAGGGTCTTCCTCTTTTGCGCTGACCCTCTACTTTACCAAACATGATGTCCTTCTCCTGGTCCCTCCAGATAATATGTCCATAGTAAGTAAGATGAAGTCTTGCCATCCTCACTTCTAAGGAGCATTCTGGTTGTACCTCTTCCAAGACAGATTCGTTCGTTCTTCTGGCAGTCCATGGCATATTTAATATTCTTTGCCAACATCATAATTCAAATGCATCAATTCTTCCTCAGTCTTTCTTATTCATTATCCAGTTTTCCTATGCATATGAGGCAACTGAAAACATCATGGCTTGAGTCAGGCACACCTTAGTCCTCAAAGTGACATCTTTGCTTTTCAACACTTTAAAGAGGTCTTTTGCAGAGATTTGCCCAATGAAACACATCATTTGATTCCTTGACTGCTGCTTCCATGGGTGTTGACTGTGGATCCAAGTAAAATTAAATCCTTGGCAACTTCTATCTTTTCTCTGTTTATCATGATGTTGCTTATTTGGTCCAGTTGCAGGGATTTTTGTTTTCTTTATGTTGCGGTGTAATCCATACTGAAGGCGGTCTTTGATCTTCATCAGTAAGTGCTTCAAGTCCTCTTCGCTTTCCGCAAGCAAGGTTGTGTCATCTGCATATTGCCAGTTGTTAATGAGTCATCCTCCAATCCTGATGTCTCACAGTTCTTCATATAGTCCAGCGTCTCAGATTATTTGCTCAGCACACAGACCAAGTACAGTGAAAGGACACAACCCTGATGCACATCTTTCCTGATTTTAAACCATCAGAATTCCCTTGCTCTGTTCGAACAACTGCCTCTTGGTCTGTGTATAGGTTCCTCATGAGCACAGTTAAGTGTTCTGGAACTCCCATTGTTTGCAATGTTATCCATAATTTGTTATGATCCACACAGTCAAACGCCTCTGCATAGTCAATAAAACACA